TTTTTTTTTCTTGGTTAATGTATAATAATTCCAAATCATAATATATCGAAGAATGGCAGGTATATATATATAAATATATATATATATATATCATAATATTGAGTATTAGTAATAATCTTTGGGCGTATGCTACAGATAGTTGAGAAATGTTTGGTCTGAAGATTATCGATGTCTAGGGAATTATAATTCCGCGTGATGAAGCCAGGTAGAGGTATATATATATATATAAAGAGAGGGGGAGAGAGCGAGATGTGATCGTGTTCATCGATAATGATGTATACATCAGAACAGATAACCTAGCTGTTAGAACATGAGTAAATAAGTAACGCGAATGTCAATCATACATTTGCTCCTTCATATTTGAATATGTGCTGCTGGAATGGAATGTTCAACGCTATAGTTTGACAGTCATGCCCTGTCTTTTTACAACCAATAGGGTGTATAACTATCTAGGATGGGTCCTTTTACGACCAAAGCTGCAAACTTTCCATCCGATACGACGTCAATAACGGTAATTAATTCGATAAATCCAATTACGCACAATCTTGCGGCAGTGAATAGTTGGAATTATCAGTGAATTATGTAAGAAGTGAGTGCAACGTAATACTCGCACAACGTGTAATGCTAAACCATCGCAAACGCAATACTACGAAAGCTCTAAAAAGTTCCTTCGAAATTTGAATTTCAATTCTAATACGAAACTGAAACTGTTAGGATCTTTTTTCACCACTCAGATTATGCGTTACGTATCAGTCATCGGCTGAATGATTGAGATATCGATTATATTCGCAAGCTATATATGCTCTAAAGTATAAAGTCGATATTGGAATTTTGAGTTTCGCTTGAGCCTTCTGGGCCTTTGTACGATAGAACGGCGAAATGTCGCAGTTACAGGCGCACAGCTACTTGTCTAGTCAAAGATAAGTTGGGGGGGGGGTCAAAATCTCGGGCGACTAGATACATGACTATTGGGTAATATTCACGAACTTTACAAATCACTAAACCTTCGGCGAAATCTAGGAGTTTATCCTTCGTTAGCAAGCACCTGATAGTTTGTGTTGCGTGATGTGTGAAAACAGGGCGGAAAGATTGACAATTCACCTGGTTCCCAATTCATCTGACACACGGTTTTTAAAACTGCCGTGAACGGAGGAAAAATGTGTAAACAATGTGCGTATAACATGTTTGGATGTATCTCATATTCTAATATGAGTATTCGAGAATATAATATAAACTCCGTTGTTGGGGAAAAAGCTAATTGACAAAAGCTAGCTAAAAGGGAAAAGGTAAAGGGTTGAAGAGAAGTTATATAATAACGAGAAGATAATATTCAAATGTTTATGAGAATCAATTAAAATGCCCGAGCCAGTATGTAATGAATGTAGAATCAATACATTTAGTTTCAGTACCCATGAACAAAGTTAGCAGCACTTATAAATTGAAGGTAGCAACGTAAGGTAATAGAAAATCATAGTTAGTTACCAGTTACAGTAAGCTCATTTACGGTAGTTTAGAACGTCGAAATGTTGAGGTGCAGTAATATGAGGAGTAAGAGTATCGGTAGCCCTAAAAATGGGCATCGAAACAGCGTATCTAACACTGCCTACACGCTGCCTCATGAGTGAATAAAAACAACATGTATTCTTATTCACTTCTGGCCGCATGTATATAATATATCGTACGGTAAACAGTTATCACGCATGCTAAATACTCGTGTTACCGGGATGGTGAGCTAGTAATGTGTTGGGTAAATCATGTTGACTAATTTATTATTTGATTAATGAAGCAATTAAATTAAATGACCAACCGATGCTGGCCAGTGGGATCTCGCTATCACTGAAGCGCCTTGCAGGAGTTGTAGGAGTGAGTTGTAGGATTCATTCTGCATGGAATATTTACTCTCTACTGTATAACCATTCTACATCATAATATATGTTAGTTATTAGATTTTTATTTATTTATTTAACCAAATTTATTTCATGACAGAATGTGCACAAAACTGTTACTTATATATACTCTACATATATTCTAAAGATCGGTCAATGCCAATACAGCTAGTGATGAGCAGGTTCCCGCCTACGCGGTCCACGGGAACGGTTATTCACAGCCCCCGTGATCAAATCACAAGGCTCATTGTCACAAGCCATTCACAAGCCACTACACAATAAACGCCATCATCGTTTTCTGAGTTTTCGGAGTGTGCTTCACCCGGCGGATTACAGGCTACTGCAATAGTCACTAACCTGTAACCACTCCATGCTGAACACCACCTCGTTTCCACGTATGCCGGCGGGCGTGTTCTCCTTCTTAGGTTCGCCGTTTCTCACTCGGAGCTTTATCGAACTTCCTTGCGAGTCGTTCAAATCGATGCGGCCGAATAGCATCGTAATACACGTGAAAATCGTCGGGCTCTTAGAGCTATATTTCCATGTTGTTTACATAGCCACCCGCGAGGCTCATCGACCCAAGTTACTTCCCGCGCGAATAACCGAACGCGTGTGGTCGCACTTACACATTCGTTGCAATCAGAGACTGACTATTCGAGCATTTGAACTTCCGTCTAAGTATATAATCAACAAAATCATCACTAATGTTGGATAATTTCTAAAGAAATTTATCTTAATTATTGTAAGTTAACGTCAATTCGAGCATTATCTGCATAATTATGGGCACGTTATGGCGTATAACTCAAAAATAGGCAAACCATGGCACGGAAGGGCCACTCAGGAGAATAGCCAACAGCATTCTTTATAAGCCAATTGTCTGTTCTATGGAGCACACTCCAAACCTGTTTTTATGGGCAGCTTTCGACTCTATAATTAGAGGTGTCCACTAACACAAGTTTCACTGTAACGCGCAATGTCGCGCCCATAGCTGCTGTCACATGCAGTGTGCCGAGGACAGACACAAACATGCCGAGTTTTCCTTCGCGGAAATATTCCCCGAAGATTAAATAATTACTGCCTGATTCGTGCATGTATGCCACCGCGCCTGTCTAGTTTTGGTCGCCACTTATTACATGTGGCAAGCGGCGAAGCGACAAAGGTGCATTATGATTAGTGGTAACAGCTAGCGGCTGTAGCAATAATGACAGCAGTCATTAGAAGGGCAGCGAGAAAGAGAGAGGAAGACAGGGAGAAAAGAATACAGAAAAGAGAGAGAGAGAGAGAGGGAGAAAGAGAGAGAGACAGAGCAGGGCCGTAGCCTCTATCTTAAATGTGATTTATGTCTTGAAATGTTTGTCACCTTATGAATTTGCTCAGCCTAGGGCTTGGAGAGAGAGGGAGAGCGCGCGCGCAAGAGAGAGAGCAAGAGAGTGAAAGAGAGGTACAGAGAAAGAAAGTGATACAGAGATAGAGAGAGAGGGGGGAGATGGAGAGCGAGAGACGAGAAAGGAGAGAAAGGGAACGCACGATAGATAGATAGATAGATAGATAGATAGATAGATAGATAGATAGATAGATAGATAGATAGATAGATAGATAGATAGATAGATTATGATATAGACTAGATATTAATAGGATTAGATAGATAATCTAGAGAGATAGATAGATAGATAGATAAATAGAAATCGCGAGAGAGATGGGGGAGAGCAAAAGAGCACACGCGACAGAGAATGAGAGCGATTGGGATCGAGTGAGAGAGAGAGAGAGTGAAAGAGAGCAGAGAGAGAGAGAAAGTGAAAGAGAGCAGAGAGAGAGAGAGAGAGAGAGAGAGCGAGCGCGCACAGGAAGAGAGCGCGCGCAGTGCTAGCAAGAATGCCGGGACGGTGGAAAGAGCAATGCTAACGGCGCCGACAGCAGCAATGTTGACAGCGATGGAAATTGTAATATAATGCTGACAGCACGAGCAGTTATGTAATCAAAGCAGCTTCGCGCTTGCGCATCCTGCCGTCACGCACGATGCGTACTAAATAACAACGTTAGTCATTACCGTCTATCCACGCAAGCATTAGGAAGCGCAGGCAACAATTACTCGTCAACAGCAGGTATAAGCTTTTTGCTTAGCAGCGGTCGCGCGATGATGAATGGGGAGTAATTCGCCACCGCTTTATGACTAGAATGAATATAAGCCGCGAATACGTCACTGGCTGAGCGATAAGCTGTCATACAAGTACCTCACGTGAACGGGTTTCATGCACTTAGCGGCTAAACGGCCGCATCTACTTGGAGAACCTTAACACGGGGTCAGTTGACTGACACACACGACCGATAGCATCGAGTTGAGGAACCTTAACCAAACCAATCGTCTCCACAAACACGCGCACCAACAGCATCTAGTTGTAGAGAACCTACCATAAGCATAACCCGCGGGCATGAACTTGAAAGAATCTTAACACAGTCTGCAGATGCACACGTTCCTAAGGCCATATAGTCGAAGCAATTCAACACAGTCTGCCCACGCATGCACAAGTTCCAACGACGATATAATCGAAAATCATTTAACACGTTCTGCACACGCACACGTTTCAGCGACCATACACCTGAAGAACTTCCATACGGTCTGCCTCACGCAGAGGCTCCAACGACAATATACTCGAGGACGTTCAACACACTATGCACACGCAGATACGTTTCCGCGACGATTTACTTGAAGCACACAATCTCCACTCGCACGGGCCAAGCGTTCAGGCGGCCCCCTCGTGAGCGCCATTTCTGTTCGTGTACGTCGACTCCCTGAACGTGTACGAATTCGACGAGTAGCCGTCGAAGCGGTAGCAGCCGAGCAGCTTCTTGAAGGCGACCTTGAACTCGCGATACTTCCACGCGTATATGAACGGGTTCATCGTCGAGTTGGCGAACAGCAGCGCGTCGGCCGTCTGCGTCAGATTGAACATGTACGTCGGGCCGCTCTCGACGTTCAGTTCGGTGAAGGCGAGCATCGTGTAGAGCACGTAGAACGGCGTCAGGCACGTGAACAGGATGCCGAACACCATGAGGAACACGCGCACGGTGCGCATCGTCTGCTTGAGGCTCGCGAGGTCGTGGTGATCGCGGCGGCCGTCGCCCGCCGGCGCCGAGATGCGCAGCCGCTGGATCTCGCGCATCTGGTGCCACGAGACGGCGAAGATCTTCGAGTAGAGGCACAGCATGACGACGAACGTGATGATGTAGTGTATGCAGTAGGCGAGGATGTGGTACTTGTTGACGAACGACTCGAAGTGGCAGCCGGCGTCGCGGTCGGCCGACAGTCCGGCCGGGATCGCGAACAGCAGTATCGCGTACGTCCACAGTCCAGCGATGACCGTGTTGGCGACACGGTATGTCATGTGCGTGTTGTACACGAACGGGTATATGATGGCGACGTAGCGGTCGACGGCGATCGCCAGCACGTTCAGCATCGAGACGACGATCGTCACCAGTGCCAGGCCCGTGCGAAAGAAGCAGATGTAGTCGGGCGGCTGCCACTGCGCGTACCAGCTCACCATGTCCATGATGAGCCAGCAGACGAGGCCGATGCCGACGAGCAGGTCGGCGACGCTGAGCGAGATCACGTACTGGTTGGTGACCGTCTGCAGGCTGTGGTAGCGATTGACGGCGATCAACACGAGGCTGTTCGACACGGTGATGCTGACGATGAGGATGCAGAGGAACACCAGGTAGACGTACGGACCCGTGCTGTCGGTGGCCGCGGCGACGACGGCCGTCGTCACGCTGACGTTGGTCTCTATCGTCGTCTCCGTCGACATGTCGCCAAGTGTATTCTCGCAGAGTGTATTCTCGCGGCGATATTCCTGCGGAGTGTATACTGTATACCAGCGGAGTGTATTTCTACGGTGATATTCCTGTGGGGTGTATTATCACTACGGTGATATTCTGGCGGAGTGTATTCCTGCGTTGATATTCCTCCAGTTATATCCTAGCGGGGTGTATTCCTACGTTGATATTCCAGCGGAGTGTATTTCTACGGTGATGTTCCCGCCGAATGTATTCCGGCAATGATATTCCCGCGGTGATACTATTGCGGTGATCTGCGCTACGCCACGCGCAGTGTTGCAACTCCGACGCGGGTGATCACGGTTTGGTCCTGCGGAAACATTGCGGGTCGGATCGTTGCGAATCGCATCGACGCTCTGATGTTACGCTTGCGTGCGTCACGCATTCACGCGTGTGAATCTCTCCGCAGCGTACAACTATTATCCCCCACGCTACTCGCGTGCGTGCGTGTGCAAACTCTCGAAAAGTACAAGTACACGTAGGCACACGCTGGTGTGCGTACAGGTTCAGACGCGTGTGCATCCGAAATCCGGCCGGCGCGCGGCGGTGTTGCGGTTCGGGCGGCGACTGACGGCTGCAATCACTCGGACGAGGCGATACGCCTGATATAGGACGCGCGCGCATACTCCCGCTGCAGCCACCAGATGTCGCTCCGAATGTTATTACGTAGAAACAAATCAGGGAGGGGCGGAAGATAATGCGAGCGAGAGCGAGAGACAGAGAAAGCGAGAGAGGAAGCGAGAGAGAGGCGAGGATGAGGAGGAGGAGAGTAAGAGAAGCGAAAGCGAGAGAGAGGTAGAGAGAAAGAAAGAACGTACTCTATAAAAACGAAACAGAGAAAGCGAGAGGGGGGAGAAGGATGAGAGCAAGATAAACAGAGAGGGGAGAGGGGAAGACAGAGGGGAGAGGTAAAGACTGATGTGGTAGAAGATAGAAAGATGAATCACAGTAAGAATTGCGCGCGCTTTTACGAACAGCCGAGTGTAGATTCGTTACAAAAAACAACGAAGAAAGCAGAGTTGCGTCAGTACAATGAAATACGCGGTGACTGGTATATTAACATGTTCGAACGAAATCCTTGTTAATTCATTGGAATATATATATACTGTACATGTGCTGGAACATCATAACTAATAACTTGCCATTTTTTAGAAAATTAAAAGAACGACGTAATTATTATATGCGAAATTTGATAAGTACAATTATACAATATTACAATTCTTCACTATTGTGTATGATCATTTACATAGATTCTTTCTTTATCTGGCTTGGATCTTATCTTAATTTGGATATGTTCGTCACATGAGATTATTGGGCTTGTATATAATAGTTATTATATTATTTTGTTACTTTATATTATATGTTGCGTGATTTTTAGCTTAATATGCTGTTAAATGATTAGCATTCTCGTCGGGCTTGTAATAGGTCGGAAAAGCTAAACCATTCGTGAATATATCCCTGTATAATCGCTTTACAATAGCGCAATTATCACTGTTAATTAATACCAGGGCCGTAGGCTGAGCAAATTCCTAGGTGGAGATCAAAATTTCATGACTCAACTGTGTAATGACGAGGGGCGGGTGCAGCTCTTGATCGTCGTCTATATAGTGTGGTACGGGCGCGTCTGAGACAAGGCTTTAACGGATAAGTGACCAAAAAATCACGTTAGGGTTATTTACGATTATTAGCTAAGCTTTTTTTTTTATTTTGCTCCAAAATCTAGGGGGCTGCTACCCTGCTTGCCCCCTCCACAGGCTACGGCCCTGAATACTATGCAAATTATTTACCTGCTTCGCGGGTTTTGACGTGGTTGCAATGGCCGACTTCCAAGCCTACAAACGTTTTGACCGTTCCTTTAATGGTTTAATGGTATTTATGGTTTGTTTTAAATGGTATTTTTACGCCTTCCGCGTACCCACGATTCAGACGAAGCCATCTCAATTCGTCGAGTCAGGTTCGCAAGCGTTCGTTGTCGTGAAGAATAGACTTGTGGTCATGTAATGAGTTGTCATGTACAGTGAGTGACATGATGATGACTTGATTCCGAATCCTGTAAATTGATCCTGGCGGACGGGTACGCATTTGTCTGGTGTTAATTTATCGTACAAAGTGTAGTCATTGACCCGTCGTAGAACGGTTTCTGTCTAGTAATCGCACTTAATTCCCACTAATAAATTTGAAATAAGATATTAAACACCGCGTACCACGCAGCTAACGTTTAAGCTAAATTTGACTATGCAGCTTTAGTGATATCATAAGCAAGTTAACTTAAACTAATTTCATTTAAATGATAAAATTCCAGATTTAACTATGCCTAGTGCTCATATGAATTTCTAAAATATCAGTAGATTGTAATTTGTAATCAGTAATTGTAGAAAATTTTCGGGTGTTGCTATTACACGAGCGTGGAGGGACAATTCAGTTCGCGACTTCAAAGTCCAAATCTTCCACAGAAAGATTCCACAGTCATACTTCCGTGCTAGACATGGCCTTATATCCCTAACCCTAACCCTAACCCTGATCCTAACCATAATCCTAACACAGCTAGTGCTGCCACGTTGCGGTACTGTCCCTCCACGACCGGGGATTAGAATTTCACATTATATTCTACCGAGGATAGCCTTGCTGCGCCACCTGTCGTTTGATTATATAGGATATTAAAATGATTTTTTAATTTAGACCGGTACCATACTAGTAATTACAGTGGTGAAAACAACCTGATGATTTACAATCTGAGAGTACAATTTTAACAAAAATATTTACTAGATATGCACGAACACAGGACTCTCGCCAAGCTACAGGGAAAATTGGTACGATTAGGAACATTGTAGCACGAGGGCATGGGTATATACAAAGAGCTTATAATGATTATTATAATCATTATAATAATTATAATCATTATAAGGTCTTTGGTATATATACTTTTTGAATTTTTAATTATAATTTCAATAAAATACAAATTAATTAATTAGATAATGGCCGGACATACAGCTGCATACATAATGTAAGACTCATATCGCAATCTATTAACAGATAGAGCTTTTCAGGGGCGTATAGGCTGGGCGAATTCCTAGGCGGAAGGGGGGGGGGCAGTGGCAGATCCAGGATTTCAAGGAGGGGGTGAGAAACAGGTCTGGGGATCATCCCACAGAAAATTTTGAAAATGTAAATCACAAGAGATGGTATATTCGAGGCACTTTTGAGTACCATGTAATGTATTTTTTTTAATTTTGCTCCAAAACCTAGGGGGCAGCTGCCCCCCGCAGGCTACGGCACTGTCTTTGGCATTTGCTAGTATTGTATCTTGTATCTTGGGGTCCCTCTCTTGTATTTCACAAGGCACTGATTCTCTCTTTGGAATCTGCAGGGAAATCCTGTACGTACTTTAAGGAAATTCTGTCTACAAGTTAGCATTAATTATTTTACTTTCTCTGGATAATGCCTTTCTAACATATTCTAGTGCTGGTTTTAGTATTTTCGGGTCATCACTTTTCCAATCTTCTATACTCGTTCCCCTTTATTATACCCTCCATATACCTTACATGAATATAAATGGTCCAAATTATATTTTTTCCTTTCGTCACACAAATCACATATACCTATCATTAGTACTGTCGTTATTTTTAAAATAACTTTTTAAGTTTATCATGCAAGTCTTACACCTAAACACAAAGCATGCATCATCAAACGACAATTTTGTCATATATGCATAGCTTTCGATATTTATCATTTTCATTTTTGTTTTCTCACCAGACCTCATGGTATCTTTCATAATTACTGTTTTTAAAATGGTACTCCTTCACATATTTTTTTCCATTCTTTCCTATGTTGTGAACCGATAGTCATAAGTGACATACTTATGTCATACTCCTTTAAGATTTCTAGAGCCTCATTTGCCCAATTACTTCCAATGTCTTTAGTTTGTTCTAAAAATGCTCTTTTCATTAATCTGTCATTTTCTAACTTAATAATGTATTGCAATAACATTAACTTTTTATAACATATTCTATCTTTTATTGGTATTATTCCACTTTCTATTCTTAGTGCCTCTAGTGGCCTATTATAGTATTGCATTTTCTTACGCATACCAGAGTTCGTGCTCTGCTGCTACTTCCAGATTACTACAACTACATGCCCATTGCCCGCAGGCCGCATACTGGTTTTCTTGCTAAGGCTAGCCCTTTGTTACATAGAGTGCGCTGTTGAAGCTTGCCAAAATGGCGTCTGGTGGTGTTGATTTTTTGGCGTTGTGCTTGAAAATTTGAAAATATTGCAGTGATTTATAAGGTAGAGACTTGTATGTTATCATTTCCTTGTTTATTAATGTATAGAGGTATTCGGTGTACATTTTGGAATTTATACGTGCGTCAGTATGACCATCACACTACGTTGTGCTACACGTGTGTTTGTTTACCTTTCGGTTTCTTCTCAATTTAAAAGTTTTTAACGTTTTCGAAGCTTTTTAATCAGTCATATGTATTTATATTTTGTGCATGTGGCGCACTACGGTATAAAATATTATAAAATACATCTTAAGTCACACATTTACCATTTACCGTTTTCCAATGTGCAAACCAATAAACGAATAAACATAGATTGATAGAATGATTATCTGCATTTATTCATAAAATCAAAAAAACTTACTCTTGTTGATGGTTCTGAATTGCAAGGTAGTAGGAACCATGGGTTACCGTCAGCATTCGCTCCAGAAATGTGTACATAAAAGCATTGTTTATGCTCTCGGTATGGCCATAAGGGATTATAAGGGCCCAAGGATATAAGAGCTGTCCACATTTGCGAAAATGAATTGGGGACCACTCGTATATCCTTGAACCGCCATAAGAATGCTTGCATAGGTAGCAGCAGTCTCAGGACTATACTAGTAGTGCTAGTAGAGTGTATATCTATTATTAATGTAAGTAAAATGTTTAATAAAACATGCTTGTACCACTACCAGTGCGTGGCACAGCCACCATTGGTCAGTCAGTTAGTTCGCCCATCCATTAAGCTGTATTTGTATAGAAATAACTACAAGCTGGGAAATGTGGAGCTTAAGCTCTTGCTCTTTTTTGAATTTATTTTAGGCAGTGTCTACGGGTACGGTAGCCGTATCTTAATGTCTCGAGGCTACGGGTACGGGAGTCCATTCGCTTTCATACTTAACGAGACAAAGATGGCGGCGGTGGCGCCAGATTTCGAAATAACGCCTTGGGAAATAAATTCACGATTTGAGAGTTTAGATGAGCTAGAACCCTAAACGTAACTCTAACCCTAAACCTAACCCTAACCCTAATCCTAACCCTAACGCCAAAAAGGGGCTTCAACGACCGACGGCTACCGTACCCGTAGCCACTGCGTTTATTTTACTGCTGCTAGCTTTCCGGTCACATGAACTCGTGAAATAAGAGCAGAAGGAGTGACAATAACATTAGCACCAAGTTATCAACGGTAGCAAAATACATTTATTGTTATGGTTAGAGACTTTTATATACCATGGGCTGCAGCATCGCATACAAGGTCATGCAAGGTTTATTGCTGGTTCCATAGATTACGTTCATATGTAGCCCTGTGGCAGAACGAAGGACCATGTAGATAGAGCCAGATAACGTGCTGCTCCACTGATTCTAAATCATTACATCTTTTCAGAATTTACTCAAACAACAGAACCGTGTTGCACCCATCTAAATGTAGGCTATCTTCATGTCAGCTGTGCAATGCTTGTTATCACTAGTGTTAAAGCACAATTTACAGAAACGTACAGCTTCCGAACTACTCTTGTCAATCTAAGGCACTGGCACAAACATATTTTTTAAGCAATGACTCACTTAGTACTAATAAATTACATTACATAAATGTCTTACATGAGTTAATGTTTTCTTTTGTAGTGTAGTGGTGTCAGGATAGCAGGCATGGCCAGTACAAGTAATTCAGGTTCAAACGGAAGGACCAAAAATGTACCCGCTGAAACGAGTGCCGGACACCAAGGTAAGAAAATATTGAGATGTTAACTAAGTAATAACCAGTATTGGGTGAATGCCTAAAATGGAAATTGAAACTCAAAAATAATCAGAAAAAATTATCCCACATTTCCCCATTAGTTATCTGAAATCATTTGAACTAGGACATTGTATGAACTGTTTAGCTCATTCATCATGCAACCCACTTCCAATAGATAAGAAATTTTTTATTTGCTGTGTATATCAGTATATTGTGTCGTAAGATGTATGAATGCATGACCACATGTCATTGAAATCAGTTGGTTTGATGAAGCTTTATGCTGGTTCGCTGGTATAAATTTCATGAGACAGCATCTTTGTGTACATTAATTTAATGCCACACCAAAAGGATGCCTCAGCCCACCTTGCACATAATCACACAGATATTAACTGGATACATCGATCATGGCTAATTGCAGGTGATGGTGACGTGAATCTGTCCGCATCCTCGCCTCAGCCTCCAATGTCTCCGGACGGCTCCCAGGAGCTACCTCCAGCCCTCGTGAAGGCTGGGTGGCGAAAATTCTGGAGTCAGCGGGAAAATCGACACTATTACTTCAACAAGTCTTCAGGGCAGTCCATCTGGGACCTTGCGCTTTTGTACTCTCTGGTAAATTTGGCATACAAAAACCACCTGTTTTTTTTGGTGGGGGGAACGTAGTAGTTAGAGTCGCAAATTACATTTTTTGTAGATTACTTGAAAGTTCGCAACATTTGTGAAGTTGTGGAAAAATAAAACAACAATGCAAGAATAATTGATTATGTTCATACTTCAATGTGCTTCCAGCTGGGAAACGAGTGATGTAAGTGACTTATTCATTTATGGCTAATCAAAGCTGTCGTCGCCTCCATCATTCTAGGTTGTATGTGGATTTCTTATAGTTGCTTTGTTGTAACTGATATGATTTCAGGAGCTTATTTGAAATTTTCAGCCGAGTGCAACAACCGATCCCCTGGGAATATCCATGACAGTTCACTCGCCTGTTGGGCTACCGGCTCGTCCATCTCTACCTGTTCCTGGTGACAAGCGAAGGCCATCTGGGGACTTACTACCAGGACAAAGCCCTGCGAAGAAACTCAATCTCCTGCCGTTAAGGTATGGCTTTGAAAATGATGTGAGGTATTAATTATTAGTAATAAGTATTATTTTTGTAGATTTTTACAAAATAAACATTCGAATTAATTTCAAATTAATTAACCGTACTCAGTAATTACTCGGTAAATGATTCCATAAGAATTATTTCCTTTAAAGTGATTACGTCACGAATTTCTAGCACCATCAAGTAGTACATTTGTGTGTTATTTGTACAAAATAAAATGTATGAAAATACAATTAGTGTTTCTGTTTACTTTTCATGCTTATATACCTTCTTTATATGCCCTAATTTGCCGGTGAAAAACAGAGAGATGCCAGTATCTGAACAGTACTGGGGGAATAGTGTTAGACAACAGAAATTACCAAATCGTCTAGATTTTTGCAAATTTAACCAACGTAAAAACATTTTTGTTAGGTGAGAGTTTGAGGATAAATTTAGTAACGTTAGTTCTTACTTTTAATGTAAAAAAATAGCAATTTTTTTTTTACAAATTTTACCATAGAAAATTCGTGACGTAGTCCCTTTAAGCAATTAACTAAGTTATTTTGCCATTTCTTTTGTGAGATTATATTAGGAGCTAGTAAGTGGTAATAGTAGTAGTTAAGGAACCTTACTGGGTAATGACTTTCTTAGTACAACCCTAGATAATACATCGCCCAAACGATGAACTAAGTAGTTTTGTTATATCTGTACTCTGTGGATATTAGGAGTTGTTAAGTAGTAGTAGTCTTAGTAAATAAACCCATAAAATGGTTAACTAGTAAACTAATTAAGTAGGTGTCCAATTTCTGTTGGCAGCGGGTATTGGGAGCTGGAGTTGGGGTCAAACGTGCTGATTATGGCGAGACCGCCTAGTCTTCACCCGCCGCCTCCACATCCGGAGGTAGAACAACTGCGTGCAAGGCTGGTTGCTAAGCTTCGCCATCAGTACCAGGAGTTGTGTCATTCGCGAGAAGGTAGGTGACAGTAACCTGTATATAAGGGTCACTCGAGGGAAGCGCCAACAGTCTTCATGATAGAAAGGTGTCCGTTGTATAGAAGTGGTTTCACTGTATAACTGGAACTTGAGGAACGTGCCAAAGCTATGCTTTATAGACAGGTGGCTATTCTATAAAGGTTTCAGCTAACATAGATTTGAGTGAATTTTACGTTGAATGCAGCTTTTCAGAAAATATGTCCATGTTATTTCCAGTATCAGTTAAGCATAGAAGCGCTCCGAAAAAAGTGTGTGAGTGCATGGCTAGATTTATTTTTGATTTGACAAGCAATACAGGGAAAGTTTCCTGGTTTAGAAATCGATAAAATTTTGGCACACATGAAAAAACCTTTACACTGTCCACTCTAGGTTGCACAAAGTCACCTGCATTTAAGAAATTGAAATATTAAACTCAGATGCTTACCCCACCACGATTTTTTGACACACTTTACTGTGGAAGCGAACCAACGAGTGTTTAGATGCGCGAGGTCACAGTCGTTTTTTGCCTGACCGTTGTTATGCGTTGGCAGGCGTAGATGCGCCGAAGGAATCCTTTAACCGGTGGCTTCTGGAGAGGAAGGTTCAGAGCAACGGGAAGGATCCACTGCTCCCGAGCGGCTGTCCATCGGAAGTCTCCGTGTCGATGTACCGAGAGATCATGAACGACATACCCATCCGTCTCACGAAGCCAAAGTTCTCGGGTGACGCCAGGAAGCAGCTTGCACGATATGCGGAGGCAGCGAAGAAGATGATAGAAACGCGGTACGTCCCGCGAGCAACGCGGCCTTATCTCCATCGTTAACCGAGTTGTTAATTGGGAAAAATATGTATAGCACTGTCTGTGTGTGTGGTGTGTCCTGTATGTTTCTGTATATTGTCCTGTCAGCGCAGTTAGCATGCTGCAAATTTTCTGATTTAGCAATGGCCCAAAGGACAGCAGAAAGCTCGTCAAGTGGAATGTAGAGGACACGTTTCAGTGGCTGCGAAATCAGTTTGGTGCTTCTTATGACGACTACCTTGTGAGTAGCACGCAGTCTAAAGAAATAAATGGTTTGAGTTTTAGATAGAAAGATAGAGGGGGTGAGAGAGAAGGGAAGAGAGAAATAGGGGCAACCCATGTGTGTGTGTGTGCGTGCGTGCGTGCGTGCGTGCGTGCGTGCGTGCGTGCGTGCGAGCGAGCGAGAGAGAGAGAGAGAGAGAGAGAGAGAGGAGAGAGAGAGAGAGAGAGAGAGAGAGAGAGAGAGAGAGAGAGAGAGAGAGAGAGAGAGAGAGAGAGAGAGAGAGATAGATAACACACACCTAACACAAGTACTACATACACCTAAAATCAGTCATCGAAAAGTGAGCTGCTCATGTCAGCAATCAAAATTACGTTCTCTCTTCCACGGTTGCAGAAACGACTGGCCTACCTGAAGCAACAGTGTCAGCCTCACCTCACCGAGGCAGCGAAGCCATCTGTTGAAAGCATTTGCAGCAAAATCTACAACCTGTCATGCGATTACGCACAGAAGTGCATGCAAAAGCACTGGGAGGTTCTCAAGGAGCACAACATTGAAGGTGGGACACCTCATTGACACAATGTCCTGCAACACACACTATGCATATACTTGGAGATATACAGGAATGGCATGGCAACGATGGGATGTGCTTGGTGTAGCATGGGTGGTTCAATATTATTGAATGAATACATTGAAATGTTTTGAATATTTGTTGTTGTTGTCGTTATGAAAGCAACTTTGTAGGATCAATGTACACTAAATAGCACTAGCCGAAAGCAAAAGTTACCAATTCTCTTTAGGAAATGCTCTTAAAAATGTTCTATTCAAGTTATTGTAACTCATTCAAATCCTTTTGGCCACAGAGGTGACAGAACCACCTGCAGTGCCACCACCACATAAGGTGGCCTGTTACCCCGTCCAGTTCCTGATACCGTGCCCACGGCTACCCAAGGTCGAACGTATCATCGAAGGTGACATCGCTATGTTGAAGTTTAATGGGGAGGTGATGAAACTCAGTGTGCTGTACTTCCAAAAGTTGGTAAGCACTACGTAGGAGCTCTATATATTTTTTACGATGCATTAACACGTATATATCTGGTAATGATTTTAAATATTATATAAATCAGCATTTTGTTGTGGTTGATTGCCCATCGCAATCATCAGTGGCGCCAATCCTTGATACATCTCTACCTAATAAATACTATCCTGTTTTGAAACCTAGCACATAATATTCACTTTAGTGAGTGTTGAATAGAATTGGGACTATTTATCTTTTTATATATATTTTTATTTATGGTTTTGTTGATGCCATTTACAATGGTGAGTGGTATCATTAAAATTCACGAATTCATGGCTTCTTATTAGGCATAATAATAAATAATGTAAATTAAATTTATTCGCCTGCTACTGCTTGCATTTATATATGTGTGTGTGCGTATGTGCGTGCATCCGTGCGTGCATGTGTGTGTATGTTGTGCATGTGTGCGTGCATGGGTATGTGTGTGAAAATAACCTACAGCATTTATGTTTACGTTACAGGAGCATTTATATAGATACAGTTGCAAGGAGGACCAGCTTTTCAGCAATTTTCTGGCCAGGGCTTGGTGCCTTCTCCGGCGATACCAGGTAATGGATACTATATATCGTGTATGTTCTTTGCCATATTGTATAATTAATTCATGGTAGCGAGGGAAACCTTGTGAAAATTGTTGTTTCCCGAGAAATAATGTTGAGGGTAACATTGATTTTCGACCTCCGTATTCAACACACATGCAAATGCAGTGTGCTCTCTTACATAAACATGTTGTAGCTAGTCGTGTTTCTCTGGGAGATTGTTATGGGATTTATCAGGGAATTTTGTGGCAGAGTCACAGGTTTTATTAGGTTCGATAGGATATTTCATAGGAAGAGCAGATGCATGGTTTTTCATCAAATTGCACATTGGCAAAGAAAAATTGTGTTGGTGCTAGGTGGCAGCACCGCTCAGCAGGTAACATTGAAAGCACATGATATGCTAGCAATTACAAACGTATAATAAATAATATATATATATATATTATATATATATATATATATATAGCCAGTTCATAGGATACAGCTGATGGAGCTGTCACAGTTAGCAGTTACAGATTTAGTAATGCTTCGTAATCCTGCCTTTCTTTCAGACATACTTCGGAGTGTTAGCCAACGAAGGAAACGGTCTCCAGGGGGCTTTGCCCATACCTGTGTTTCAAACACTGCACAAGCATTTTGGCGTGACCTTTGAGTGTTTTGCCTCACCGCTGAACTGTTACTTCCGCCAGTACTGCTCAGCGTTTGGTGACACAGATGGTTACTTTGGATCGAGAGGGTGCGTGCTTACATGTTTCTCACAATGCAGTTGAACAGACATTATTTACAGGTTTCCTAGCATCCATGCATAGTCAAACTTGTGTTAACTGCCACCCCATTAGAACAGACCTATGAATATCTATAAAGGACATTGTGTCGTGAAATCAACTTAATCAAATGTACACCTGTTTATATAGGCCACTTTCGGCATTTCCTTCCAATTGACCTTTGTATACAGGTTTGACTGTAAAGGTTATGTATGGATTACACACTTACTAGTATTGTATCCCCCGCGACGAAGTCGGTGGGGATACTATGGTTTCATGTCTCCCCAGCCGCCGCCGCCGCTCGGTCCTCCGCAGAGAATTTCCCTTCCGCTCTATAACTCGACCCCTAATTGACTTAGCGTGACCAAACTTGGTATACTTACACATCCTGGGGAGAAGGTGTGCAGAGTACCAAAACCAGGTCACTGCGACCTTTATTTGACCTTTACCTTGATCTTGATCATATTTCCCTTCCGCTCTCTAACTCGGCCCCTAATTGACCTAGCGCTACCAAACTTGGTATACTTACACATCCTGGGGAGAAGGTGTGCAGAGTACCAAAACCAGGTCACCGCGACCTTTATTTGACCTTGATCATATTTCCTTTTCGTTCTCTAACTCGGCCCCTAATGGACCTAGCGCTACCAAACTTGGTATACTTACACATCTTGGGGAGAAGGTGAGCAGCGTACCAAAACCAGGTCACTACGACCTTTATTTGACCTTGACCTTGATCATATTTCCCTTCCGCTCTATAACTCGGCCCCTAATTGACCTAGCACTACCAAATTTGGTATACTTACACATCTTGGGGAGAAGGTGTGTCGCATACCAAAACCAGGTCACTACGACCTTTATTTGACCTTTACCTTGACCTTGACCTTCATCATATTTCCCTTCCGCTCTATAACTCGGCCCCTAATTGACCTAGCACAACCAAATTTCGTATACTTACACATCTTGGCGAGAACACGGGGGATACATGTAGTTGGCGACAACTGCCCTTTCTAGTTTAATTAAGAAGGCCGGGCATAGGTTGTGAACAGATTAATTTGTTAAGATGTTAAACTCATTCTTGTGTCAACTGCATCTATGAGTCTCGTTTTCTCAGTGTCCTGTAGTTAAGATTGGTTTCCTCAATGTTTCTCGTCCCCGTAGGATACTCTGATTATCTCAATATCAGTATGTCCATTTCTCCTCTAGAAATTTTGCAAAAGTCAAAACCTTGTTTATGCATTTTTAAAGTAATGAAAGGTGATAGTTGAATAAACATTCAATAAGTAGTTAGTGAATTGTTGCTGCTTTATTAACCTGCGCTCTCCTGACTATTTTATACTTTAATGCTCACCCTTGCTGATTCATTGTGAGTTATACTTGCTAGATTAAGTATGATAATATTGTGAGCTTGTTCTATTGCATAAACTTGTTTTTGCTGTTGCTAATGCAACGTATTACAATTTCAGGCCAATACTGGATTTTTTCCCGACAAGCGGTTCATTCGAAGCAAACCCACCTTTCTCTGAGGAACTCATAGACGCGATGATTGATCATTTTGAGGTAGGGCCAAAGCATTTATCGTCATCTTGAATGTGTGTGAGTACTTGCATAATCATTAGTTTGTGCGTGTATGCACCTAAAAACTTTTGTGTGCATGCATGTACAACGGTAAATCAAAACTCTGTTACATTCAACTTTGCGTTAGCAACTGTAGAAGGTACAAGTGTCTGTGAAGGTGGCTTTTGGCATTTCTCTTGAATAGCAGCTATATAGAATGAACACCTGTGTCTAAATCACACTTTTGGCATTTCTCTTGAATAGCAGCTATTCTGTGAACCCACCTCTATAGAATGAGCAAGTGTGTCTAAATCACACTTTTAGAATTTCTCTTGAGTGACCCTTATGCAGGTTTATTGATAAAACTTCCACGTTTTCCTGCCATTGCTGTTTCTGCTGGAGGCAGTGTTTACAAATCGCGAGATGCTTATAATCATGAATAATTATTTATTATAATAATTATAATAAATTACGAAAGCTACATAATTAACATGCAGTAATTTACCGTCGTACAGTAACGTCGTCAGTACACTAAACAACCTTAATCTCGAATCCCCTTACCAACCCCCAAAAAAACGACGCTGTTTGGCGATACACCGCAAAAAAAAATTTATGTGCGATGTAAAACGAAATTTCGCCGATAAAAATTTTGCGCGCTAATATTCCCAGGGTACCGTAATATTTGGGCGTCCACTCTTACTAATTCATCGGTCGGTGCTAGCGAGCTGGGCTGCAGGCAGTCAGAGCGGAGAGTGAAGATACAGAACATATAATAATTATAATTATTAAGCATGTTTGTGTTTCAGCGGCTCCTCACCTTGTCGCAAGAACCACTGTCCTTTATCATCTTCATGCCAGAGTGGCGAGATCCACCGATAGCCGGTGTTCTGCGGCTGGAGGGCAGTAGGTAAGTAACAGTTAATGTTATCGTCACCGATATGAGGAAGCATGCTGCCTGGGTGTAGACCAATTGCTGCTGCTGTCTCAACCTGGTGCTACCACCACCCGTAGGTCATTGGTTCCTCCATGGTTGCCCACATTTGAAAATATCTCGTTACAATGAAATCTTTCTCGCATTTTGATTGACGTTTTAGTTTCATCTCTCTTGGTTATGTCACTGACGTACCTTATTTCACCTTATTATACGTTATTTTCACAAAACGTGTTACACTGCAGTGGGTGTTTATCGATGAACTTTCTATCAAGGAAACGTTTTATTCACAGATGGAAGCGAAAGCAAGTGTCCATTCCACCATTTGATCACGAGTATAGGCACGGCTTCCAGCACATCTGCTCCCGGTAAGTGTCCGACTCAGAGATACGTGTTATCTTGGCTGATATTTGCCCGATTTTAACGATACATCGGAAGAGAGAAGTACGTCTGTTGAGTTTACCTTGATCTGTACTACCTTATCAAGCACTAGATGGCAGCAGCAGTTTACACACGGATACAAATTTGGATCAGCATGATGGTTTATCCAAGTGGTGGCGATTTTGCCAAATAAAGTATACTAGATGAACGAAATGTGGTCGCAAGTTTACCTGTCCTTACAAAAGCTCAGGATTGGTATTAGCAGCATACATTAAGCAGATATCGATATTCTGGTTGTTATTGATGGAAAGGTATTTCATTTCTCAAAGGATAACGCTACCCAAGGTTTCACAGTTAATGTGCCGAAAATATAATTCATAGACAATTGTTCCATTCTACGGAGAGCATCTACTAACGCAGTTCTGGACCTGCGTCCTGTCCCGGCCGGTTGCTCATTGTATGGCACGAGTGTGTTTCTGTCGCAGGACCGAGATGTACCAGCGGTCAGCGCACGCAACCTTCGCCGTCTTTCTCCAAAATGACGCCGGCTTTGCGAAATGGGAGCCGACGGAAGAGCGCGTGCAGGCGCTGGTCAACGCCTACAAGCCGGGCAGCCACGACGCCGAGGTGCCAGCGGAGAGCAAGCCGGATGCTGCCGGTGCCGTTGCCAGTGCCGTTGCCGGTGCCGGTGCCGTTGCCAAGGAGAACTCGCCGAAAGAGAACAGCAAGGATGCCGGCGCTCGGCGAAGCGTCAGCTGATGACTCGAGTCGAAAGAGAACAGGGCAAATGCGGCGGTCTTTGCTAGACTGTCGGGCGACGCCTGCCTGGAAGAAGCGCGGGTGAGGTTCCAGTTGGTCGCGGTTTGTCGGAACATTCACGGCGCGCCCGTGCGAGGGTGTGTGCAAATGTGCAAAGTATGGTAATGCTTTACGGTGAAGTATAGCTAAGCACCATGTGTGCGCGAATGGTGTACGCACTTCCACGTCCAAGTGCATATGTTTGCATCTGAGCATGGTTGTGGCGTGCGTGCATGTTTAGGTGAAGGTGTATGTATCTGCAACCCAGCATGCAGGTGTATGCACCTTCAAGCACACGTGTGGTGGCGGGCGTGCGTGAAAGTGTTCTTGAGGCATGTTGAGTAAGGATTCGTGATTGTGTGCATGTGTGTGCAAGAGTATTTGGAGCATGTTGTCCATGCAAGCAATTTGCAAGGGCATGCATGGAGATGTGGTAATGTCATCACCGTAGTAAATATGTGGCAATTAATGCATGCATAGTTTCCTAAAGGCCAGCTGTACACGAGATGCTAGTTTCAAATAATTTATATTTTTTTATTCTACTGTTTATATAGTCATAATATAGCTGTCATAGTTAGGGCTAGATTCAATGCAGTATGATAGGTAGCATTGGTAGAGCTGGTTAATTTTTAAAAAATCGACTCGGTGCTCCGACGGTTGGCAGGGTCTACAACATTTGTAGGCAGCTTTTGTAATGTGGGTCCAGCTTTAAACCATTTAGTTGTTTGTACAGGTCTGTGTGCACAGCAAACTCATTCGAAGCAGATAGCTCCCTCTGCTGGGAATAATGGTAAACTGCTATAACTGCTAATATTCTTTGCAACACGGGGCAAAGGCCCACGACTTTGGAAATTTGTCACTCTTTCCTATTATTATATAAAACTTGGTTAGAGTATTAACTAAGAAACTCAATAACAAAGAATGCGATGTCTAAATAAAATGGATAATAACTCTAGAACTAGAATAAGAATACGTACACGCAGGCACGCACACGCGCGCACACAGACTTGTACCTTGTAACATAATGTAAATAAATGAAGGTCCAGTGAGGTGCCATATTAATGTATAAACGTAGTAAACTAGTATACTACTTCATGTGTAAAGCTTATTAAAAGAAGTATGATATAAAGTAAGCAAATGTCACATTACTATAACCTTCTGTCACCTATATTGTTAAAGTATGGTTAGGTAAATTATATATACACTAGCTGTACGCCGTTACTGTAAATACAGTGTATTCGACTGTTTAGCTACGTATAAAATAATAGTATTTGAAAAAAAACGTATCAATATAGGACTATAGTCATTTATTTGTTTGAGGGTTAACCTGGCAATTGGGAACCTTTGGTGCGGATGCAGTGTCAGCGCAACTGGTGTAGCGTTGAGGTAGTGCTACTGTCTTGGCCATCTGCTATGCACAATCACTCGTGATCCGCCCTCTGTTGATAACCATATGATATGTTTCAATATAACATAATAGCTCCATTGTTGCTAGTGACGCTTCGCTTCCTAGCTATATTGAGGTGCCAGCCAATGGTATAGGAGACCCATGTGCCTGAGAGTGCATTGCAAAGTAAGTATTCATGGTTCGCCAAATGATGCAATAATGAACGATGAAAATCGTGTATTTTATGTTGCTAAACCAGGCAGGTAGTATTAGCCACGATTTGTAGTATTGCGTGAAATAGTAGAAAGTAACAGACGTGAGTAAGAAAATGTTAAGAATTAATCTGGACTGTAATAACGTTTACTATCTTGTGTCAATGCGTTTTGTGCAGAGAATCTGAACAAAGCTTAATATTAGACAATGAATGGCCAGTCGTAGTGTGAAAGCAGTAGCTTTAGTAACGATGTTCAGTTGTTTGTTCATTTTATTCACGCGCTTATTTAAGGTGGACGGGGATACTAACAGCATGTGAAGTAGGGAGTGTAATTGCGCGAGCAAGAGGTTCGCGGGTTAGCTCGTGTCGGTTGATGATGTCAATGATATGTTAATCATATATTGTCGTGTTGTGTTTAGTTCAATGTTCTTAGAACAATACTCACTGTTTTTGTTTAATATATCGCTAGTGTACATGACTGTGGCGAACGGTATGCGATTTTTTAGTTGCTTGCAGCAGTGAGCTATATAGACGCTGTGTTTTTAACTTGGTGTATTATTATTATTATTTTAACCCAATTTTCGCGTGAAATTTTACTGGCGTGCGTTTAAATGCGTTGGCGTCGCGAAGCGTGACTGATGCACCTGTGTTTTTTTTATCGCGTACCTCACTTCGTAAAGGCAAATGCTGGGCTACCTGTGACCAGGTATACAGACGCGAGAGTTTTCGGCGGATTTCTTCGGCATTATCGTTGTCGAAGTTATCGTTCTTGATATCGCCTCGGTCATACGCCACCGACAACCATCGATCTGTTTTAACAATGGACAACACTGACATTCGCTATTCTCACGACGGTGTCGTTTATTCTGCCGTTTTTTATTGTAAACGGAAATCCGTACGAGATCGTACGAAAATTTGCAATTTGAACCACCATACTGTAGCGTCAAATTGTAGTTAGTTATTACTGCCGCGTTGTTAGTGTTAGTGTTACCTATAAAAAATTATTATAGAATCCGCTGATCGTCGATTGATGCCGTATTTAGTGTGCCCAATAATAGTAGACAACTAGACATTCAGGTCTGTGTTAGCCGACATCTTTGTACAACAGACAGCTGTCCACAAAAGCACACTGGATTGGCGTTTATGTACGAGGATTGACTGTAATTCCAACATGTTCTGCTTGCATCTATGACAAATACCACATAGGCATATTCGCTCTTCTATGACACTATTTGTCATAGGAAGATTCTTCCTATGACAAATATTGTTGTATGTGTTGTGCGCATTGGCATAGGAAGAATCTTCCTATGACAAATAGTGTCATAGGAGAGCGTATATGCGTATGTCGTATTTGTCATAGATGCTAGCAGAACAGACTGGTAATTTAGTGATCATTGTGGGGGAATATTGGCTGTAAATGATTCCGGAACATGACTCGGCAGCATATAGCGATGCTTACGCAGTCACGTGGTTTTCGGACAACTTTTTGGCACGCCTCATAAACTCTGCTGTGCTGCTACTGCCGACGCTACTGCTCTCGAACATGTGCTGCTGCTATTTCGTCCAATAATTTCAATATGAGCTCTCCTGCGAGCAGAAAATGCGTTTTCCGTATTTCGGCGCAAGCTATAGTTTCTCGCTCTAGTGAACCAAGAGATGACGCGCCACAGCAGATTGACATTTAAATTCAGAGGATGCAGCGTCGGCAGTCGAGCTAACCAGAAATCTGGCGACTAGTGGTTTGCTTTCGGGTTAGTGTATAACTTATAATAGCCTGAAACTCTGGTATACGTACTGGTACGCCTGATCCTGTGTTGGTACGTGCGGCTATACTCGTGTGCAGCATGGCACAACAATTTCGTCCAATAATATCGTTAGCGTGTAATGCTGAAGTAATATAGTTGTTTTTGTCAGCTTTTAGCGAGCGTATATAATACGTGGCGGCCTATTGTATTATACGTGTACGTTCACGCGTAGGTCCTACTATTTGTGCATGGTACGGATATGCTTCGATTTCACCATTATGTATGCAGAATTTGTAAAATATACACTATAGTACCTAGATAGCTAGACGCATTCGTGGTGTGCCTTTTACAGGAGGTAAATATTTGCTAGTTGTACCATTTCTGATTAGCCAAGAGGCCAATTTTATTTCGTATTACCCGCTCGGGGTACAAGGCACAGACCGCAATTATAATGTTAAACATTTGCATATGCTATTTGAACCATGTAAATACGTACATTGTTTTAAGGACACTGTGTAATGCCTACCGGGCGGTCTAGTTGTATATACGTAGATTATGCAAACCTATACACCTGCTCATTATGTTAGATAATACGTGTGATTTGTTGTACTGCACCTAATCCGTTGCCTGATATGTTACACAAAAGAATTCTTCAGAATATACAATAATTTTGTGAAACGGCATTCCATGTTTGTCCTTTTATTATAGCTAATAATAAAACAAAATGCCATGGACTATATTCTAACTGGGCATAGTGGTCCGCGGTTCGCCTCTCTGTGTAATTGTAATACTATGTTATTTTACTTCACTTATTTCAAAGTAAATGTAAATATAATTTTCATTTTTATTTAACTTCACTCCCACTTTTTCAGCCATCTAACACCATTTTCTGGTTTATGCTTGCCCTCTTTACCCGCCCATCATTTACTGGTAAATTCAACTCATTATTAAACCATAACTTGCTTTCTCTCTCTGTTTACTAACGGCCCTCTCTCTAGTTAGGTGGAGGGGGGGGGCAGAGCTTGCGCGCATCATTTTCCATATCTGGGCCACAGGCACTTGAAGCGTTCAATAAAATATAATGCTAAATAAATACGAAATCTAATACTAGTACTACAAAATTCTTAATGTTTCTATACTCTCTTTCACCTATTATTGGCGACAGTTTCCTGTAAATTCCGTGTAAATGCTCTATGCACACACACACTACCCGGCGACCTAGTGACAGTTAAATACATAGCTATATATTTAACTGTCACTGTGCACCGTCGGCAATGGCGGTTATCGTAGCCATGTTGGCTTCCCCTGACTTCATTGCTAAGCCCGTTGATTGATGTTTGTTTAGACTCAGAATTCCACTAGACGTTCTCTGGCAAAAAGAACCGCCGCCGTGGCGTCAGCCGTATGTGCTCCCACAGCAGAATCAGTGGCGGGCGTCTGAAGGTCTACGAATGTTAAGAATTAACTGCGCAAAACCTTTCTGCATTAACGTTGCGCAAAACTTTTTCAATATCCGTAGGTGAAACAAGAGGCCTAGCCTATACGGCTATAGTATAAGAAACAGTTAAGAATTTTGTACTAAGTAAAATACATTTTACCGACTGTTGGATGAGTATTTCTTTTTAAACTGCGTATGAAATACAGCGAGTGTATTTAGTTAGCATTATATTCTATTGAAACGCTTCAAGTGCCTGTGCTTCAGTCTATGGAAAACTACGAAGGTCGGAGAGTTGCGCCGTCACGTACACGCGCCGGCGAGAGAGCCGCGCGAGCCGAAGACCCTTATTAATCCTTATTAACCCGTGGCGGCAGAGCGAGCGAGAGCGAGAGAGAGAGAGAGACAGACTGTGGGGAGTGCGAGAAAGAGAGAAAGAGAGTGGAGAACGCCAGATAAGGTACGAAAATACGGCAGGTGACGGTACGAACGGCGACGATGTACAAACGCGTGTCAATCCATAATCGGAAAGCCCCCCCCTCCAAAGCCGATGTAGCCGAGCCGATGTACGTGTTCCGAAACTGCGCGATGTTAGGCTGCCCGCTATACGCATTCGCGCGCACCGCCTTCCTTCGGCGCGCGAATGCGTACAGCGGGGAGCTATAGCTATATACATCCCGCGGTCGCGTGCGCCCAGTCCCGCGGAAGTGCGCGGCTTAACCGCTTTCGGCGGTCGTGGAACAACGCATCTTCTGCGCAAGGCCATCTTGTATCCGGTCTCTCTGGACTCGTTAGTGGAGTAGGCGAGGTACGGTCCGGCATATTAGATAGTACCAGCAGAGCATATAAATCACGTTGATTTATATGCTCTGGTACCAGGGTACGTTCCGGCAGTACCCTGGAGGACATAGACCCTCTCAACCGAGCTAGCTCAGGCGCCTGGGGTTCGTGGCTCGAGTCAGTCTCTTTACAGGTAGGAAAATGAAGGAGGACGATGCCAAAAACAATATTAGCGCAGGGAAAAAGTAAAGAAACGGTGATTGTCAGCGTTATATTTTTCAGTTTTGGTGCAAGGACAAGGAAGGGTTTATTTGGGTTTTCGGTAGGGAGAGAGAGGGGGTCACAGATTCTAAAAAACGCGTTTAAACATCTTGTGGGCCGACGTCTTAAAACGCGTTTAAACGCCTTGTGGCCAGATGTCTTAAAACGCGTTTAAACGTCTTGTGGCCAGATGTCTTAGAAACGCGTTTAAACGTCTTGTGTTTAGCTATTGACGTTTTCTACCTTACTAGTGTGATGAGCAAATGACTGGTTAGCAATTGCCGGATAGGCAATTGTCCGAGAACAGGGTGTGACATAGAGCCATGGGTGGCCCAGATCACAGGCACTTAGAACGTCTCAAAAAAAGAAGGTAAATAAACACGAAATGTATTTACTACCAAAGTCTTAATGTTTCTCTACTCTATTTCGCCTATAATCACCTGTAAATGCCAGTCAAATGCTCATCTGCAACACGCAAGTACACCGCACGACGGCGCTGTGCACAAACACAGACACTTAAAGCGTTTCAATAAAATATAATGCTAAATAAATACGAAATCTAATACTAGTACTACAAAATTCTTAATGTTTCTATACTCTCTCTTCACCTATTATTGCACAGTTTTCTGTAAATTCCGTGTAAATGCTCTATGCACACACACTACCCGGCCGCATTCG